AAAAAAAAAAAAAAAAAAAAAAAAAAGAAAAAATCTTGAAAAATCGTCTGTCTCAGTGAAGAATAGGAGATCTAAAAGATGAGAAGAGGGGAATAGGAGAATCTAAAAGATGAAATTTCACTGGATACCTCACCTCTGGACGGTTATGGCTGCCCTCTCCAAGATCAGCGCCCTGTTGTACTCCAGTGTTCTCTCCAGTGATTCCCTGAGGAACACCCTGGTGAGTCCGAGCTGATACTGGGACTGCGCGTCCTTCGGCGCGGCTTTGTCCAAAATTAAGCGGCAGAGCTCCTTGTTCGGCGCACCTCTCGGCAGATGCGTGGAAACCAGGTACCGATATCGGTCCACGAAGTGTCCGAAAAGCAGCCGGACCGGGTAACCAGTTTTCCGAATCCGAATCGTCTCCAGCATCCCCGTGTAACGTAACTGCTCCAGCACGCACGGCATGTCGAATTTCATCGGCGCCTTCTCCGTGTTTGGCTTGATGCATCGCACGAACCATGGATTGCATCTGAGATCGAAATAACGATTGAGAGAAGAGAAAGAAGTAATTTCAAATTCGCGCATTCTTGCGTAAACAACTATATTTAATTCGTTTTCTAATCGGTTCAGACACTCGTGGAGTGAAATTTGAAATGTTCCTACTGAGACATAGAGTCCAACAGTTGCTGCAGACTGTCGTGGAATCTGGCAGACACGGTCGGCGTCCTTGGCTTCATGGTGACGAATCTGCCGTTCGGTTTGTTCATGGTTTTATTGGCCTCGTGAGCCGTCCTCACGTGCTGGAACATTTTGCTGACCATCTGCAAGAAGCAAGCGAATCGTCGATCAAAGGAACTTTGTTTGGAGCCTTTCAACGTAATCGAGAAAAAGGGAAAAAAGGCAAAGACACTCACGGATATTTTACTGCTAATCAATAGCTCCACGACGTCCGGTCTCAGCGTGTCTCTGTTTTTATCGAGGAAACCCTCGACGTTGTACCAAACTTGCCCGGCGTAGTGTTTGATCGCGAACTCGGCGGAATTCATCCTCGGCCTCGAGTACAACTCGCTCAGGGCGTGATTGTAATGGCACTTTTCCAAGAACGAGAGATCGGTCGCCTTTGGGAAGTTGCTCTCGTCGTCGAGCAGATGCAGAATACCCACTGGCTTCTTCGCTATCAGGTGTATCACCGGCAAATTGTCCTGTGTATCGAGCAAACGAAAATTTCTCGTCAAAGAACATCACTATTTTTTTCGATTTATCGAAATTTGGCATAAATTTAGCTTTCAAAGAAATGACCCGTATTTTTTTTTTTTCTTTTCTTCACCAATGATCGATGTTGAAGGTGGTGAGATGCGGAACATATTTTGTCAAATATTTCGGAAATTATTGGAAGATACGGTTTTTATGTGGCTTTTGAATTTAATGGAAAAAGAAAATCTTTCAAGCGATATATCGTTAGTTACCAAAAAGAAGAGAAAAAGGAAAACGAATTTCGATCGATCGAAGAATTTATATCGACGTTTACCGGTAAAGATTTTCGCGCTCACCGTGTAATTGATGGTCGTCCAGTCGATCTTCTCCTTGGCGTATTCCTGCTGCTCCAGCTTGAATATGTGCTTGTTGAAGTAGAACTGAAGGTTCTCGTTGGCGTAATTGATGCACAGTTGCTCGAGGCTGTTCTCCGCGAAGTTCTCGAAGCCGAATATATCGAGTATCGAGATCGCGGCCGTCTGTTTCGTCCCTTTGTAGACGATGTGATTGATACGAGCGACCAGCCAGGAGAACAGGGAACTGTACAGAGCCTTGGCGAACGCATCCCTGGCATCCAGAGCCTGGTCGATATTCAGCGCCGTGAAAACTCTCTCGTTTCTTGCTTCCTGCGAACGAGTAAACTCTCTCAATTGTTTTCCGATCAAACAGAGAGAGAAAGAGAGAGAGAGTTAAACTCACTGTCGTTTTGGTGGTGAGTGCCCTGATGATTCCATCGGAATTCACTTGAAGGAGATGAGCAGCCCAGCGAATTTCGGCGTCGGAGCCGACCTCCACGCCCTCCTGGCCGTGTCTCATCTGCTTCCGGTGAAAGTACACGTTCCCGAGGTGCAACACGCTGGCGAGGATTTTGAAGATCGTGTCCTGCTCCTCGGACGTGAATCCCAGCACTTGCATGGCCGAGAGCAGGGCTTTGAAGTCCTGAGTGTCGCTCTTCCCGTCGATCTCGCAATTCCCACCCTTCGCAATCGAATTTCAATCGTTCGTCACTTCGTCTAGATGACTTCGACGAATGACGTTGAGAGCTCTCGGTTACCTGGTTCAGATAAAAGTATTTGTCCGGCGTCAGCAATCCGTACTTGTCCCTGAGTTGCTGATCGAGACCAGCCAGCAGCTCGTAAAACACGTGATAGTTCCTTTCCTCTGGCGCTTGCGTGACTATCCTACTTTTCTCGAGCAGATACTGCGTTATCCTTCCCCCTATTATCACACCGCTGAAAATAATTGGCGAATTATGATTGAACGAAATCTTCAGCTCAATCTTTATACATGTATATACACGGTCGTGCTGATTTTCTAGCACAGTGACTTGAATGAGATCTCTTAGTTTCTTAATTGGATTAATATTTCTGAAGTGTAAATACTGGCTGTCTCGTAACTTGTGAGTACATCCGGATAGGACGTGATTCTATGTGGAAGAAAAAAAACGAGAAAAGGAAGTACAAAATTCTTCCACCAGAGCTTTCGTTTCCGAGGAAATCGAATTTGAACATTTTCATGAAAACAAGTTCTGTCAAAAATTACCCTGGTGCTTGATAAATTTTCTCGAACAACGGAGTATCGTATGAAAAAATTGTACTCTACATTTCTCACTTATTTTATTACGCGTAAAGTAACCTTCTATAAGTTATTTTCTTTTCTGTCACGTTCAGAATTCAAGCTGTATTTAATAAGTTTCCAGACTCGATTTTCTCGAAAACGAACGGCTCTAATGGAAAAACTTTTTTTTTTTTCATTTTCACTCAATGATTGTACCACCGTGCAGTACACGTACGAGGTGTCCAAAAGTTATTTATCGCCTATTCGAATTCGAATTTAAAAAAAAAAAGAAAAAAAAAACTCCCAGATACTCACTCTCTGAAATATACTTCCAAATACTTTCCAAATCTGCTGCTGTTGTCGTTCCTCGGAGTTTTCGCGTTGCCGAAGCTTTCCAGCAGGGGCGTCGCCTCGAGAATTTGCTCGGTGACGAGATTATTCGGCGCGCGATTCACCGCGGCTAGATACTGCATTACAAGTTTCGTGGATTCCGTTTTTCCCGAACCGGACTCACCGGAAATGACGACCACTTGATTCGCGCTGGCGTTGTTCGCCGCAGTTACCTGACTGTACGCCGACGAGCCCACGGCGAACAGATGACTGCAATTGCATAAACTTGTATTAATGTACGAAGCGTTCTATACAATACAGATAGAAACGAAAAGATAAGTATGAGATGCTTGGTTTAGTAATTTCCTTTAGTTGACTCGGATTAACGCTAGAGCCATCAAAGTGGCCAAATTGACCAATTTTTAATTTTCTGTTATAAATTTTATAAACTTTATATCGCGTAGACAAGAAGAATTATTTGCAAAGAATGTGAGTGCTCTCTTTAGTTAACACTAGAACTACCAAAATGGTCAAAATGACTAATTTTCTAATTTTTATTTTTATTTCTAATATTCTAATATTCTAATATTCTTATTACTAATATTCTAATTTTTATTTAATGACTAAGTTTCTAATTTTCTGTTATAAATTTTATATATTATAACAGTATATTATTAGATATACTCGAGTGATTTTTAACAAAGTCTATTGATGGAAACTCGTGTTCTCTATTATGTTATTAACTTTTTCTCTCGAACCTCGCACTTTAATTATACTTTAGTCGTCGGGTAGTTGTATATGGTAACGTTAATAAATGGTAACGTTGGTAACTCACGGAGGCAGCGTGCCAAGTATTCGTCCCTCGTAGAGTTTCACTTGATCCAGCCCGTAAATGTCGAACATTTTGTAAGGGTTCACCGCTACCAAAATGCTGCCGGTGTACGTCTGTCGTTTGTGGAAAAAAAAGAAAATGTTCATCGAATTATATATACATATGGAACGTTCTAGCGCGAAACTAGAAAGGAACGGATGAAAAGACACGTACGTATATTAGTTCCTTGTCGTAACGAATCTTGAGGTTCCATAACAGAGAAGCTTCGTTCAAGTCGCTGCAATTTCAATTAATCAGTGTTTTAATTTCACGCGATACGGAATGGTTCACGTTCAGAACTATAAACTCACGTCAATTGAATCATATCCTCGACTCCATTTTGACCGAGATCCTGCCTCGGTTTCACTCCGCTCAAATTCGTGAGGGTGAAGATCTGAGGCTGAAACCAATCAAACGAATTATCATGCATCACTCGCGTACTCGCTGATAAATAACGAATATTTGGCGATTTCTAATTTTTCTAACGATCTCGAGAACTCTGGCGCAAGGAAGAATTTTCTTCTCCCTCTTCCTCATCTTGCTCGCGCGTGTTTCGCAAACGAGGCTGAAACCAATTAACGAATCAATTACTCGCGCATTCGCGGATAAAAGCAGAACTGGCGATTTCTTATTTTTCTGAGGACTCTTAACGCGTTAAGTGCCGTGTTTTGCAGTAGGAAATTTAGTAAGAATTGTTACGAAGAAAATACAACACTGCTGGGAAGAAATATTAGTAGAAACGTGACAACATACGTTTGATGAATCTTTGCCCAACTGTTTCAATAAAACCCGTTAAAACTACTATATTGCATCACTATACTGAATAATAAATACCAGTAAAAGCAATATTCAGCTACTATTCTTTCCTGTAATTTTAAAGTTTGTCAATTTTTACAAAAGTGTAGTAAATTTGTTTCGTCACCAGTTCATCAGTGAGGCACTGAACGTGTTAAGAACTCTAGAATTTCCTTCTTCCTGGCGCGTGTTTTCCTCGCAAACGATCTCGAATTCCACCGGCCATTTGCATTACATTTTCGTCGATCACGCGAAGGCAGAGGTACGCCAAGTTGTCCGGCGTCTTCTTGATCCTCGGTCTCGAGATCGTCTCGTTGGATCTCGTTCTTATCCCCGTGCCCTGCCTCCTCGAAAACCTGCCGCCGCTATCACTGTCCTCGTCTTTCGCAGAAACTTGAGAAAACTCGCGAGAAAGCGACGAAGTTTCCAGGACGGTTATCGAGCCACCGTGAAAATCCTCTCTCGAATTCTGTCCACCGTCGAACGCTGCCTCTGGACAGCTCCTCGGCATCGACTTGGTCGTTGTGCAATCCTCGACCGAGGGAGTGCACGTGCACGCGTTCTCGTCCTTGCGATCCACGACACTCTCCTTCGAGCGTAACCTTGACTTTTGCAGAGACACGTCGCAGCTCCTCTGCGACTCCGTTGCAGATTTTCGACACCGGCACGTGTTCGTGGAATGTTGTGTTCGCGAGTCGAGGCAAAGCTCGGTAGGCAACGACGATAGTTCCGGTTCTTCGTAAATTATCGAAATGTGATGTTGCAGTCGGGCCATCGATGCGGAGGACGAGAACTGTGTTTGTTCCTCTAGCTCAATCTCCGGTGAGCAAGACTCGTAGAAGAAAAAGGGAAATTCCAGAGAAGTTGGCTGTTCCGATTCATCGTGTTGTTGGATGCGTCTTGTTCCACGACCATCATCGTGTTGTTTTTCCGAGCCGAGCGACTTTTTGCCGGCGATTTTCTCGGCGGCGAGCCGGCGGTGAGAATGCGCACGATAAAAAAGGAAGATCCGCGCGAATTCACACAAGACTCAAAGCGAAAGCCACTCACGTGAGGCTTAACCGGATACCGGGTTGCCTGAGTTTGCAGTTGCAATTCCATTGGCGTCGCCGCGATTCACCGATCCCTCCACACGTGGAATCGGTGAACGCGATTTTCCATCGAACGATGCGAGACGTTCTTCTGCCGTCTCTATACTACACCATACTACGGTAGTAGTAAAACAGAAACCGATCCCGTTACGACTCGCGGATTTTCACCAACTCTCCGTTCGAGTCGTTCATGGTGCTATGAAGACGAATCGAAAGCCAGTTCTCTTCGCAAAGTCTTCCGAGAGGAAGAAAATCGAAATATTTCGTCGTTACCAGGCTTCCTCCCTCCCTCCCGCGTCAATTACAGAAGTAACCTAGAATTTAATTGTTCCTTCGCGAACAAGAAATAACGAATCGCCAGCCGAGTAATTAACACGGAATGAAGGAGGAAGTGTCTCGCCTGTATCATGTGCTTATTTATACAGACGGAGGATCGCGCATT